AAAATTTAATTGTTTATTTAATTTTAATTTTTTTCCCTTGGTACTTAAAATTATAATTTATTTTTGTTTAGCACTACATTTGTAACGAGATGATTATTATAATTTCTTTGAATTGATAAATAATTAATTTGTGATATCCTCGTAGGATACTTACATACTATGTTTAAATATTATTTCTCTAGTAGAGCTACCAGTTGTAATCCTGAAGCACTATGATTATACTGATTCTATGGTATGGACAGGATACTGACTACTTTTACGATAACCAGTGTAACAGGCTGGATGTAGAAGGGCAGTCCTTTCTAGTATTCACAGGAGATCTCTAGCTTTTACAATAGCTTTTTTTTGTAACACATTAATACCAGTCAACACAAGGGACTACTGACCAGGAAGAACAATGGCAGATATAATACCAGTTCAACACAGGGACTACTGACCCAGGAAGACAGTCTGAGATATATATACCAGGTCTAACGCAAGGGACTACTGACCCAGGAAGACAGTCTGAGATATAATACCAGTCTAACGCAAGGGACTACTGACCCAGGAAGACAGTCTGAGATATAATACCAGTCTAACGCAAGGGACTACTGACCCAGGAAGACAGTCTGAGATTAATACCAGTCTAACACAAGGACTACTGACCCAGGAAGACATTCTGAGATATAATACCAGTCTAACACAAGGGACTACTGACCCAGGAAGACAGTCTGAGATATAATACCAGTCTAACACAAGGGACTACTGACCCAGGAAGACAGTCTGAGATATAATAGCAGTCAACACAAGAGTCTACTGACCCAGGAAGACAATGACAGATATAATACTAGTCTAACACGAGATTCTACTGACACAGGAAGACGTAATACCAGTCAATACAAGAGACTACTGAACCAGGAGGACGGTGGGAGTTATAATACCAATCAACACAAGGGACTACTCACTCAGGAGGACGGTGGGAGGTATAATACCAGTCAACACAAGAGACTACTCACCCAGGAGGACGGTGGGAGACATAATACCAGTCAACACAAGAGACTACTCACCCAGGAGGACGGTGGGAGATATAATACCACTCAACACAAGGGACTACTCACTCAGGAGAACGGTGGGAGATATAATACCAGTCAACACAAGGGACTACTCACCTAGGAGGAGGGTGGGAGACATAATACCAGTCAAGACAAGGGACTACTCACCCAGGAGGAGGGTGGGAGATATAATACCAGTCAACACAAGGGACTACTCACCCAGGAGGAGGGTGGGAGACATAATACCAGTCAACACAGGGACTACTCACCTAGGAGGACGGTGGGAGATATAATACCAGTCAACACAAGGGACTACTCACCCAGGACGAGGGTGGGAGATATAATACCAGTCAACACAAGGGACTACTCACCCAGGAGGAGGGTGGGAGACATAATACCAGTCAACACAGGGACTACTCAACCAGGACGAGAGTGGGAGATATAATACCAGTCAACACAAGGGACTACTCACCCAGGAGGAGGTGGGAGACATAATACCAGTCAACACAAGGGACTACTCACCTAGGAGGACGGTGGGAGATATAATACCAGTCAACACAAGGGAATACTCACCCAGGAGAGACGTGGGAGACATAATACAGTCACAACCAAGGGACTACTCACCCAGGAGGAGGGTGGGAGATATAATACCAGTCAACACAAGGGACTACTCACCCAGGACGAGAGGTGGGAGATATAATACTCAGTCAAACAAAGGGACTACTCACCAGGAGGAGGGTGGGAGACATAATACCAGTCAACACAAGGGACTACTCACCTAGGAGGACGGTGGGAGATATAATACCAGTCAATACAAGGGACTACTCACCCAGGAAGGCGGTGGGATATAATACCAGTCAACACAAGGGACTACTCACCTAGGAGGGACGTGGGAAGTATAATACCAGTCAACACAAGGGACTACTCACCCAGGAGGAGGGTGGGAGATATAATACCAGTCAACACAAGGGACCACTCACCCAGGAGGACTGTGGGAGACATAATACCAGTCAACACAAGGGACTACTCACCTAGGAGGAGGGTGGGAGATATAATACCAGTCAACACAAGGGACCACTCATCCAGGAGGACGGTGGGAGACATAATACCAGTCAACACAAGGGACTACTCACCTAAGTGGAAGGTGGGAGATATAATACCAGTCAACACAAGTGACCACTGACCAGGAAGACAGTGGCCGACATAATACCAGTCAACACAAGGGACTACTGACCAGGAAGACAGTGGCAGATATAATCCCAGTCAACACAAGGGACTACTGACCCAGGAAGACAGTCTGAGATATAATACCAGTCTAACACAAGGGACTACTGACCAGGAAGACAGTCTGAGATATAATACCAGTCTAACACAAGGGACTACTGACCCAGGAAGACAGTCTGAGATATAATACCAGTCTAACGCAAGGGACTACTGACCCAGGAAGACAGTCTGAGATATAATACCAGTCTAACACAAGGGGACTACTGACCCAGGAAGACAGTCTGAGATATAATAGCAGTCAACACAAGAGTCTACTGACCCAGGAAGACAATGACAGATATAATACCAGTCTAACACGAGATTCTACTGACCCAGGAAGACGTAATACCAGTCAATACAAGAGACTACTGACCCAGGAGGACGGTGGGAGTTATAATACCAATCAACACATGGGACTACTCACTCAGGAGGAAGGTGGGAGATATAATACCAGTCAACACAAGAGACTACTCACCCAGGAGGACGGTGGGAGACATAATACCAGTCAACACAAGAGACTACTCACCCAGGAGGAAGGTGGGAGATATAATACCACTCAACACAAGGGACTACTCACTCAGGAGGACGGTGGGAAATATATTACCAGTCAACACAAGAGACTACTCACCCAGGAGGACGGTGGGAGATATAATACCAGTCAACACAAGAGACTACTCACCTAGGAGGACGGTGGGAGACATAATACCAGTCAACACAAGAGACTACTCACCTAGGAGGACGGTGGGAGATATAATACCAGTCAACACAAGGGACTACTCACTCAGGAGGACGGTGGGAGATATAATACCAATCAACACAAGGGACTACTCACTCAGGAGGACGGTGGGATATAATACCAGTCAACACAAGAGACTACTCACCCAGGAGGACGGTGGGAGATATAATACCAGTCAACACAAGAGACTACTCACCTAGGAGGACGGTGGGAGATATAATACCAGTCAACACAAGGGACTACTCACCCAGGAGGACGGTGGGAGACATAATACCAGTCAACACAAGGGACTACTCACCCAGGAGGAGGGTGGGAGATATAATACCAGTCAACACAAGGGACTACTCACCCAGGAGGACGGTGGGAGACATAATACCAGTCAACACAAGGGACTACTCACCCAGGAGGAGGGTGGGAGATATAATACCAATCAACACAAGGGACTACTCACTCAGGAGGACGGTAGGATATAATACCAGTCAACACAAGAGACTACTCACCCAGGAGGACGGTGGGAGACATAATACCAGTCAACACAAGGGACTACTCACCTAGGAGGAGAGTGGGAGACATAATACTTGTCAACACAAGGGAATACTTACCCAGGAGGAGGGTGGGAGATATAATACCAGTCAACACAAGGGACTACTCACCCAGGAGGAGGGTGGGAGATATAATACCAGTCAACACAAGGGCCTACTCACCCAGGAGGAGGGTGGGAGACAATACCAGTCAACACAGGGACTACTCACCTAGGAGGACGGTGGGAGATATAATACCAGTCAACACTAGGGACCACTGACCAGGAAGACAGTGGCCGACATAATACCAGTCAACACAAGTGACTACTGACCAGGAAGACAGTGGCAGATATAATCCCAGTCAACACAAGGGACTACTGACCCAGGAAGACAGTCTGAGATATAATACCAGTCTAACACAAGGGACTACTGACCCAGGAAGACAGTCTGAGATATAATAGCAGTCAACACAAGAGTCTACTGACCTAGGAAGACAATGACAGATATAATACCAGTCTAACACGAGATTCTACTGACCCAGGAAGACGTAATACCAGTCAATACAAGAGACTACTGACCCAGGAGGACAGTGGGAGTTATAATACCAATCAACACAAGGGACTACTCACTCAGGAGGACGGTGGGAGATATAATACCAGTCAACACAAGAGACTACTCACCCAGGAGGACGGTGGGAGATATAATACCACTCAACACAAGGGACTACTCACTCAGGAGGACGGTGGGAGATATAATACCAGTCAACACAAGGGACTACTCACCTAGGAGGAGGGTGGGAGACATAATACCAGTCAACACAAGGGACTACTCCCCCAGGAGGAGGGTGGGAGATATAATACCAGTCAACACAGGGACTACTCACCTAGGAGGACGGTGGGAGATATAATACCAGTCAACACAAGGGACTACTCACCCAGGAGGACGGTGGGAGACATAATACCAGTCAACACAAGAGACTACTCACCCAGGAGGAGGGTGGGAGATATAATACCAGTCAACACAAGGGACTACTCACCCAGGAGGAGGGTGGGAGATATAATACCAGTCAACACAAGGGACTACTCACCCAGGAGGAGGGTGGGAGACATAATACCAGTCAACACAAGGGACTACTCACCTAGGAGGACGGTGGGATATATAATACCAGTCAATACAAGGGACTACTCACCCAGGAGGGTGGTAGATATAATACCAGTCAACACAAGGGACTACTCACCCAGGAGGAGGGTGGGAGATATAATACCAGTCAACACAAGGGACTACTCACCCAGGAGGATAGTGGGAGATATAATATCAGTCAACACAAGGGACTACTCACCCAGGAGGAGGGTGGGAGACATAATACCAGACAACACAAGGGACTACTCACCTAGGAGGACGGTGGGACTTATAATACCAGTAAATACAAGGGGCTACTCACCCAGGAAGGCATTGGGAGATATAATACCAGTCAACACAAGGGACTACTCACCTAGGAGGACGGCGGGAGATATAATACCAGTCAACACAAGGGACTACTCACCCAGGAGGAGGGTGGGAGACATAATACCAGTCAACATAAGGGACTACTCACCCAGGAAGAGGTTGGGAGATATAATACCAGTCAACACAAGGGACTACTCACCCAGGAGGAGGGTGGGAGATATAATACCAGTCAACACAAGGCCTACTCACCTAGGAGGACGGTGGGAGTTATAATACCAGTCAACACAAGGGACTACTCACCCAGGAGCACGGTGGGAGACATAATACCAGTCAACACAAGGGACTACTCACCCAGGAGGAGGGTTGGAGATATAATACCAGTCAACACAAGGGACTACTCACCCAGGAGGAGGGTGGGAGACATAATACCAGTCAACACAAGGGACTACTCACCTAGGAGGAGGGTGGGAGATATAATACCAGTCAATACAAGGGACTACTCACCCAGGAAGGCGGTGGGATATAATACCAGTCAACACAAGGGACTACTCACCTAGGAGGACGGTGGGAGATATAATACCAGTCAACACAAGGGACCACTCACCCAGGAGGAGGGTGGGAGATATAATACCAGTCAACACAAGGGACCACTCACCCAGGAGGACGGTGGGAGACATAATACCAGTCAACACAAGGGAATACTCACCTAGGAGGACGGTGGGAGATATAATACCAGTCTAACGCAAGGGACTACTGACCCAGGAAGACAGTCTGAGATATAATACCAGTCTAACACAAGGGACTACTGACCCAGGAAGACAGTCTGAGATATAATACCAGTCTAACACAAGGGACTACTGACCCAGGAAGACAGTCTGATATATAATACCAGTCTAACACAAGGGACTACTGACCCAAGAAGACAGTCTGAGAAATAATACCAGTCTAACACAAGGGGCTACTGACCCAGGAAGACAGTCTGAGATATAATAGCAGTCAACACAAGAGTCTACTGACCCAGGAAGACAATGACAGATATAATACAAGTCAAACACGAGATTCTACTGACACAGGAAGACGTAATACCAGTCAATACAAGAGACTACTGACCCAGGAGGACGGTGGGAGTTATAATACCAATCAACACAAGGGACTACTCACTCAGGAGGACGGTGGGAGATATAATACCAGTCAACACAAGAGACTACTCACCCAGGGGGAAAGGGTGGGATATAATACCATCAACACAAGGACTACTCATCGGGATGACGGTGTGGAGATATAATACCCAATAAAACAAAAGGGATACTTACTCAGGAGGACGGGGGGAAATATAAAAACAGTCAACCAAGAGACTACTCACCCAGGAGGACGGTGGGAGGACATAATCCCAGTCAACACAAGGGACTACTCACCTAGGAGGAGGGTGGGAGACATAAATACTAGTCAACACAAGGGAACACCACCCAGGAGGAGGGTGGAGATATAATACCAGTCAACATGGGCCCTACTCACCAGGAGGAGGGTGGGGAGACATAATACAGTCAACACAGGGACTTCTCACCTAGGAGGACGGTGGGAGATATTAATACCAGTCAACACAAGGGATACTCACCCAGGAGGACGGTGGGAGACATAATACCATCAACACAAGGGACTACTCCCCCAGGAGGAGGGTTGAGAGATATAATACCAGTCAACACAAGAACTACTCACCCAGGGGAGGGTGGGAGATATAATCCCAGTCAACAAAGGGACTACTCCCCCAGGAGGACGGTGGGAGACATAATACCAGTCAAACACAAGGGACTACTCACCTAGGAGGAGGGTGGGAGATATAATACCAGTCAACACAAGGGGGACTATCACCCAGGGGAGGGTGGGAGATATAATACCAGTCAATACAAGGGATTTACTCACCAGGAAGGCGGTGGGAGATAAAAATACCAGTCAACACAAGGGACTACTCACATAGGAGGACGGTGGGAGATATAATACAGTCAACAAAAGGGGGATACTCACCCAGGAGGAGGGTGGGAGATATAATACCAGTCAACACAAGGGACCACTCACCAGGAGGACGGTGGGATACATAATACCAGTCAACACAAGGACTACTCACCTAGGAGGACGGTGGGAAAGATATAATACCAGTCAACACAAGGGACTAATCACCTAGGAGGAACGGTGGGAGATATAATACCAGTAAACACAAGGGACTACTCCCCTAGGAGGACGGTGGGAGATATAATACCAGTCAACACAAGGGACTACTCACCCAGGAGGACGGTGGGAGATATAATACCAGTCGACACAAGGGACTACTCACCTAAGAGGACGGTGGGAGATATATTACCAGTCAACACAAGGGACTACTCACCAGGAGGACGGTGGGAGAGAAAATTTACCAGTCAACACAAGGGACTACTAAACTGGGAGGACGGTGGGAGATATAATACCAGTCAACACAATGGCCCTACTCACCCAGGAAGGCGGTGGGAGACATATACTAGTCAACACAGGGACTATTTACCAGGAAGGCGGTGGGAGTTTATAATACCAGTCCTCTTGGCCACGACAATAGCTATCCCAGACTCCAGGTAGGTCGGTGAAGTCAACCACACTCTCCCTCTCAGAGTTAATTTTGAAAACTACTCAGTGCCATGCTGCTCTGTGGTTCATCAGTGCTGCCACCAGTCCGTTCCACTTGTGTCCCTATAGTGGGTATGCGTGCCCAGTGGGCAAATTATTCGTTAGAGAGATTATGCATGTTATAGGGCATATCGACATGTAAAACTAAACATGCAGAGTGACATTATCTAGAAAAATTTTTAAGAATTCATGTTGCTGTCCTGATTTTCTATTTCTAGAGTTTAGGAGATGCAAGATGGAGCATTCACCTCAACACTGACACAGTGGGGTATTATACTGCCAGGTGGTTGTGTTAGGACTGAAGCAACACTGCTGCGTACACCACCTGCACTTAACACACACACACACACACACACACACACACACACACACACGCACACACATACACACACATACATACATATAAGATCTAAGTTATATGTGACACAGTTCTCTCTCAAGGCAAACAGAATCTTAACTCACTGTAACAGAATCTAATTCTAATGCCATAACATCTAAACCCAATTTCAGTGGAATCTTATTCAAATGCCATATAATCTGAGCTTTGTAGATGAATGGTTCAGAGAACCAATCTGAGCTTTAAACATTAGAATCTGTCCACAATATAATAATTTAATATAACTTAGATTTAGCAAAAAACTAGACTAAAATAGTGTATTAGAAAAATAATGAAAGGAAAAAAAATTCTAGACAAATAGCAATAGGAACAGTTTAATAACAAATAAGGACAGTTTAATAGCAAATAGGGGCAGTTTAATAGAAATAGGGGCAGTTTAATAGCAAATAGGGCAGTTTAATAGCAAATAGGGACAGTTTAATAGCAAATAGGGCAGTTTAATAGCAAAAAGGGGCAGTTTAATAGCAAATGGGGCGTTTAATAGCAAATAGGGGCAGTTAATAGCAAATAGGGGCAGTTTAATAGCAAATAGGGACAGTTTATAGCAAATAGGGCAGTTTTAATAGCAAATAGGGATGTTTTAATAGCAAAAAGGCTCAGTTTAATAGCAAATTTGGGCAGTTTAATAGCAAATAGGGGCAGTTTAAGAGCAATAGGGGCAGTTTAATAGCAAAAAGACTCAGTTTAATAGCAAATAGGGGGAGTTTAATAGCTAATAGGGGCTAGTTTAATAGCAAATAGGCTCACTTTAATAGCAAATAGGAGCAGTTTAATAGGAATGGGGGCGGTTTAATAGCAATAGGGGCAGTTTATAGCAAATAGGGGCAGTTTAATAGCAAATAGGGGCGGTTTAATAGCAAATAGGCTCAGTTTAATAGC